TAAAACAAATATTTGGAAATAAAATATATGAAAAAATGTATTTCAACACGACTAAATAAATGGTAATTTGATTTTTATGTGTGWATATATTTACTTAATATTCTAATGTAAATAAATTGTATATAATTTTAATTTTCCAATTCTTTTTTCAAAATAAATTGATATAACCACAAAATAGTACAAATTAGTTAAAATAAATAGCTTAAAGTATATGTAATGAAAATAGAAATTGGGATAAAAGTAAAATAATATTAAAATTTCATTTTTAATATATTATATCTATATCAACCATATATTTGTCTAAATTATTTTTGAAATACAATTGGCAAATGTGCGAAATTGTGTAAATGAAAAGGTATAGGCTGAATCGTGAATCGCAGATATTTCTTAGGTTTTAGTCTACTTGAGCCTTGAGGTGTTTGTGTAATTAATGTCGGTTAGTCTTGTGTAAAAAAAATAAAAATAAGCGCACAGGACATGCCACATGCAGTTATGTTGTCCAGTCGTTCTGCAGGAACTTGAAACCAGCTGATTATCACAATAGGTGATTGTTATTTCATTTTTTGATTGTATACAATCCACGTATTATTGAAAATAGTTTTCGTTTATAAATCAGATTAAAATTCCTTCGAAAAGTCAATGTATTAAATATTCGATTAGCCTAATCGTCCTATCTATAATATATTATTTAGTTACGTCAAATTATTGATACTAGTACTATAACTCTGAATAACGTAGGTACACGGTACACATATATWTAAATATAGTATCCGAAAACCGTTTCGTCTCGCGTATTGACGCCAATAACATTTCAACGGATTTCGTAGCAGTTATAGCCACCAACTGTGTCATATTTACATAATATTAAATTTGATGTATCATATATATATATATCAATACACGTATACAGAGTGATCTTTTTAGCACTCGTATAAATACGCTTCAATTATGCATTCCTGTGTTTAACAATCCTGTGCAGGAAATACTAACTTTTTTTTAAACAAGTCACTCTTTAAGGTCTACTTATAAAAATACACAGAAAAAGCCAGAATGTTTAAAAAAAATCAGTTTGTTGTTCGCATCGTCAATATTCGTGACACACAATCATAAATGCCAAAAAAAATCTGTAAACATATTTTCCAAATATGCTCTACTATAATATAATATTAATCATTAACAACATTATTATTATGTTATTAAATTTACGAAAATCAGAATTTGATGTATAATTATTGCGTGTACTCACACACGGATACGAGCAGGTAAACGATAGAGAGAGGGTCGATGGTGCTTAAAAAAAATCACTCTGTATACCTACATCATAGGTATACCGTGAATTTTTTTCGCGCAAAAATCTCTCTCGCGACGAACATACACCGAGCACGTGTGACTTGGGTGAGGTTTCGTTCGATTATGATAGTGTTACGCTGCGTATGGATAATTTAGCGAGAAACCTTATCCGATTCGACGACAGAGAAAGGTGTAATAAATGCCACATGTTTCATCCCATTTTTTTTCTTCAAACATTTTGTCTTCTGTGGAAACGGGCACGTACATTAGTCAAATTGTTCAATATCGTACGAATACGTACTGTCTACGAACAAATGAGCATTCACTCGATATCCGATCCCCAAATAAGTATGCACCTAAATACATAATATATATATATAGTTAGATAGATAGATAGGAGTACACACGCGTTGACTAAGAAATATACACTGCGACCATGTGTTTTTTTCACAAAACACCAAAAACGTTTTCTGACGTATTGTTTTGTTTATTTTTTTTTTCATCATCGTGCAGGTTGTCGATAAAATTTGTCTTGGATTTTTACCGTATTTGAAAAATACGGTGCGTACAATAGGTACTGCGCACTGCAGGGGTGCGTAGACATCATCATCTGTTTTGGTAGGTAGAGTGCCTAATCAGTATACGATAACAATATAATATACCGCMAGTTTATCTTATTAGGTACTTTTAAAATAAATGTTTACCCGAAACCTGCTTTTATTCTGCCCTTAGCTGATCTCAAAAACGAAATCTCGTTTTTATACTACAC